GTCTTAAAGCATAGGTAGCGCAAAACGGCGAGGACGTAGCCCCGAAAGGGTGTACATGCAACTCATAGACCTCAGGAGGAGAATCAAGATTGCCATCGGGATACCATAAAAAGCTGAAGGCCTTTGTATCCTTTTCGGGTAGATGTACCTGGAGGAACATTTCTTCAATGTCTGCTGACAATCCAATCTTATGCTTTCTGAATCTAAGCAAAACTCCCACTAGGTCGTTTGTAACATCTGGTCCAGAATATATACAATCATTTAGAGACCTGTTTTGTAACTTAGCAGCACAATCAAAGACTATCCGAAGTTTACCTGGTTTTTTAGGGTTAAATACGGGATGATGTGGAATAAAATACCTTTCTTCTTCGATAGCTTGAGTTACTCGAGACAAATATCCTTTACTTTCGTGGGTAGCTAATATAATAGTATACTGTTTCCGAAGCTGTTCGTGTTTTAGCAACCTTTTACGTAGGTAAATTATTCGTTTTTCTATTTCGCGCTTATTCCTTGGAAGTGAGTGCCAATCCACCTTCCAGGGTATCGGCACTTGATAATGTCCATCGAGCAATACTGTTTGTTTGTCAGTGATCTCCATAATGGTCTTATCACATAGGGACGTGGTAACCTTATCAGAGTACTTATTTTCAGAAAATTCATGTTCAAATAATTTGAGAATATCCTCCTCAAAGGAATTTTTCGCTTTTAAACAGTTCATGAAGACTGAAGTTTTATTAGGTTGACCCGTTGGTCCAAATGAAGCCCACCCTAACATGATTAGTGAAGCATAGGATTGTTTAGGTTTTCCGATACGCTGATCGAGTACCCAGTGGGCCTCTGGAACGTCAACACCAAGTAACAAACCAACCTTGTCACAGGCTATGGTGAGTAGTTGTACACCTTTCAAGTGTTTCCATCTTTCTTGGAAGTCCGTTGGTGGGATTTCTGCTCTTTTAATAGGTAGGTTATCTATAGTATATGCACCTTCGATTTTTATTCGGTTGGTCTTATCTAAAGACTCAATTTCGAAATTGGTAAGTTCAGCGTTCTGAGATGACGCTCCAATTACCGAAGATATGTTTAATCTTGTCATTGTACCAGAAATTCCTACCTGTTTGCCACGTCACTAAGCAGTAATGTCGAGTTTGAGCCATTATCTAACAATGCATAGGTATCCACGATGTCATGTGGTCTGCCGAACCGTTCATGTAGAATTTTAATTGCCTCAGTGTAACCTTCCTTTTCTGGTAATAAAACGCAGTGTTCTATAGCATCCTTTGCTATACCTTCGCAATAGTGTATGAGGTACATTAATTTCTGAGTGTCATCACTTACTCTGTCAGCTATGTTAACCTTGAATCCCTTCATGAACGTCCAAGCTTTCAGAGGGCTCCCGTCAAATTTCGTGATTTCTACCTTCGGTAAGCTTACTGACATACATAGAGCCTTGACGCTATCTACCTGTGCTTTGAATTGCATTTCATCACCCGAAGGTACATTGGTGTATCGGAGACTTGCTGTAACTACCAAGGTTTTATCCTCGGATCGAGACCCCGACAACTCGGTAGTCTCCCCAGGTCTTCTCACTTTGTTTGAAGAGTTCGGAGTTAGCTCTAACAATCGCTTGCGTAGTTGGAGTTCTCTAATCTCCAGCTTAAACTTTCCTACTTCCCTTTCCCTAGAAACCACTAAGTCTTCTACGCTGTATCTAGTCTCTACATAGTTGTCTCCTACTGAGCAACTGTCTTTGGGGTTACGTTTAACAATATCAAAGGCAAGATTTAAAGGAATAGGTGAATTCACCTTAGAAACTGAAGGAATAATATTTTCAGCACTGGAATTGTCTGTGTCTTGGGAACTGTCATCGTTGTACTTTATTCTTCTCGTTCTAGTCATCGTTGGGATGAACGAACCAAATAGGATTCCGACCAAATTCGTTACAGCAAGTATTCCCTCCAATTAGGAGCAAAGTTCAGAACTGTATCCACACCAAATGAGACGAAAGTTGAGAACTGTTATCCACACCAATGAGAACAAAGTTGAAAACTGTTATCCACACTAAATGAGACCAAAGTTGAGAATTGTTATCCACACCATTGAGACCAAAGTTGAGAACCGTTAATTCTATCGAAGCGTCGAAGTAACCCCGATTGAGATACGCGCAAAATCGAAGTTCCAAAACAACGATTTGTCTACAAAAGCGGTTCTTTATTAAATAATGCACAAAATTTAGTTACAAACCTCAACTTGTGAGGTGTCTAGGCGTTTAAACGCGTCTTTCAAGAATGAAAATAATAAAGGCTTCGATAGTCCAAAGACAGCCGATAGCTGAGTCTAAATTTGATAGCAGTTTATGAACAACCGAAACTCGAACCAAGAGCAAACAATATGGAAACTGTTGCGTTTAAGCAAATGCATAAAACTGTGGATAACCGTTACAGTAAATAAATTACAGTGATTATAATGATAAATACAATGATAAGTAAAATAAACGTTAAAGATATATGTGAACATTTCAGAATGTTACAGTACAACCTGAGTTACAACATGATTGTGAAAATTGTTGGGCATACAACTGCTTACTGAATATAAATAAGTAGTATAAACCAACATACAAAAGAGTAGGAAAGGAATGAGCGGGAACAATGTAAAACAAAATTAACAGTCTCAATGTCAGGGAACATGTTGGAGCATGGTAGATACGATTGGAAGATTCTCCAGACAAACTGAAACTAGGAAGAATGTGATCGAACTGATGCAAAATGCTCATCTGTGTTGTGAATTTAGTATGCCGATTTGATCTTAGAGAATTTGTGGTAACCGATCACATGTGAATTGAGTGAGTAAGGTGTGGAATGACACCTATTTGATATTTTGCAAAATTCATTGGACTAAACTTGACTGATCTACATATCATTCAATCGGTTCAAGAATGTGATGTGATGTGCACATTGATTGTATACTGTTGTTATCATACTGAAAATGTCACCCAGTATATAATATTGTCTTCGTCAACAACTCAGGTTCATTAACAACACTGACGTTTCTCTCAGTCGATTAGAATCGATGTGATCAGCGCTTCTTGATCATCAGAATAATTCCAATTGACTTCAGATTTCGATGGCTTGTCGATTGGATTTGTGAAACAACTTGATTATCGATCACTTATTTATTGTCTACAGGTTCCCTGAAATATCTTAGAATATCTCTTAGAATCCTCTCAATTCAGCTTGTTTACCTCCTAGTGTTTATTCGATTACGACCACTCTCCCCTCAACAGTATTGTTCTGGAGACCCAAATATGAATTTATTAGGGTACGAATTGTGTAGTGATATCGCTTACTTAGTGATTGCATTGCAGAAACAAATATGGAAGTTCTACAGATAAGATATTTCTATATAACCCTGAATAAATATCTCATTTTTCCACTAACAGTTGATAGTAATAATAATAATAATAATGGGCTGTTTCGAATAGTCGCATATTCTGACAACAATGAATTATGTCATGCATTTTGTTCATGCACATCCAGAACACTTCACCTCGTGCAATTCATTTCAACTAGTTATTACTTTACTAAAATAACGGAAGAGATCATATTATCGAAATCATGTCACTCTCAGTGTCAACTTCCATTGCGTTAATCTACACAATTGTTAAAAGTCTTGATATTGTTAATTAAAATGTAATTGTTGATTAGTGATAGGATGATAGCAATACAAGTGTCAAGTAATGATTTCATTTAGTAATAATATCGACATTTCCACTGTGTTTCTCTGGTGAACCTGGGTAAAATTCATTAGGTGTTTCGTCTCGAGAATTCCACTCCTCATCCAGTGCATCAACAATATTTTCCCCACTTTCATCAGACAACCTCGTTGACTCTCGTGGTATATTACAAGGTGAATGAACACTGTTTCTAGGCCATACTAAACACTTCATTATGGATCCAACTGATCGTAGTCCACCTCGACGAATGATTGTAACACATGTATCTGGTTGAACTAGTATATATCGATCACGAAATATCTGTTGCCTGTAAACATGTACACAGTAATAAGAATACACATGTGACTGACTACATGGAAGTTTCAATATTGGTAAAACTGTTTGGAAAACAAACCATTTGAAATTATTTACCCTACACTGAATATCTGCACTGGTTTATCCAAACTCAATTATGGATTACTGTCACATAAATCGATCCAATAATCCATGTTTTTGTAGTACCTAAATAGTCTCATGCATTTTACTGGCAGTGCGAGACTGTACAAAAGTCTTGTTTGTGTTGCTGAGCTATTCGAATTTGTGTGATCCTCGGTTGTATTTTCCAACGTTTCAAATGACCACACTGTGGAGCAAGATATCATGGTAACGAGCAACACTAAACAATTTGGCATTGTTCTTGATCAAATAGCGAAATCAACCATTGTGGGTCTGTTTATATCATTCATGTGAAAAGAATAAGGTGAAGTGTAGGATTTACGTGTGATAGTTTCGTGACGACTATGGGTTTCTAAGTAAAAAATAATATATTTGTAATATCTCAATGAGTCGAAATTTAGATTCTTCTGACTTTTCGTGACTTAGTGTAAGTCACTTATTCAGAGAATGAATAAACTAATTAAAATTAATCCATTTATAAATAACACAACGGAACAATGCAAGAACAAATTTGGATCAATCAAAAACAGGTCAGAACAAGTTAATGCCGTGTCATTCCGGTCAAGATGATTCATAAGAGATCTGTATGTAAATTTGTGCGTGTGGGTATTGTTCGATAAGATTTAAAGAATGAGGTTAATTGCGAGTGCATTGTATTAGTTTATGCTACTATATCTAACTAGATCACACGTATTCTTTAATTGGATGTCGATAATATTAATTCACAGTAACATGATATGACCTAAATAAAATAGCATATATAATGCAACTACTCGACCTACTGTGTTGTGCATAATTCAAACCCATTTCACTTCCACAACTAATTAGTTGAACAATGTCAGTCAATCTGTTCATGATAGTCGCTGTAATTTCTTATCAAACTGTGTATACAGTTGTGAGCATTCCTACAACAACTGAGATGAACAGCAATACCAGTGCATCGAATAAATCATCAAGTCTACTGAATTGGAGAAATACAATCTCACAATGTGTTCGATTGTATATGGAACCAAATCAACTTGGTGATTGGTTTGATATATGTGATAGTAATGAGCTGCTCTCATCAACATTTATTTGGAGAATCAAATCGATTTGTACACCTGCAAATACGAATCCATTCAGAAAAACATATTGGTTAATATATGAGTAGGTTTGTCCAATTTGATATGATCCGTTGTGAGGTTTATATTGTTAATGTGCATCCACGAAGCTTTGTCCACTTATCGGTTAATTCTATTCTCATGAAGTTATGTCACGGAATTCATTGAAACCCACTAGAATTTAATAATAACGCATATGATTTGTAATTCATGATACAATCCCAACCAACTGTCATGATGATTTCCGGTTCTCTATGTGGTATGTCTTGTATTGGTATATAGAGAACATACTGTTTGTTGAATTTCCGTAAACTAACAAAATTGAAGATCACCATTCATTTTGTTGTGTAGAATTAAGAATTAGAATTAATTGATTGGAGACACGAAATTAATTTCACACAGTGATGATGAAGCGTTGTAGACGAGTCCATGTGTGTATGTGTGTGTGGTGATATATTTCGTCTTTCTATTCAAGGTTATCAGTTGATTCACGAAGTGTAGTTGGTCGACTTGCTTTAGATAATCCGATTACATGACGAATGGAAAGAGTGTTTGCTTCGTTTTGAATATTTTCGGATTACAGGTAGGTAATTTTCCCAATTATCTGATGCTTCCATTGTCCCCTACCAAAGATCATCAAATGTGAAAATATGAATATAAAATGAGATAATATCAGTGAGAATATCAGTTAATTTTGTACACCTTACCTGTCTTCGTTGGTTTTCAGCAGAACAAGTTATGTGTGTATCTGTGATCAAATGATGACACGCAAATTGTGGTTCAGTTGATCTACACTTAAGCAGCATCCGTTGAATGAATAAATAATGTGTAGAGTAGTTCTTGAGCAAATACATTCCACAGAACTGTGATACTTTCAGATCTATAAATAAATTGAATTAATTATCATCATGATTAATTTATGATTTTCATATCTACTTTTGCACGATTTTATCCATCTTTATTTAGACGATCTCATTTCGCAGGACCCTACATACTACTCGGTTCCAGTAAATGTATTGACGATATAAATCAGTATAAACTTTCGGCAATTATGTCAATACTGATCTGTGTAGAGAAACTAACGGCAAAATGGGATGTGTTTGTTTCTTGTCAATATCCAAAACGACCATGGAGGGAATTTTTCCCAGTAAACTGGCACTCAGATTATAAAGTCATATCTAAATCTGGAACGGAATCAGCTGATGAAGCAGAAGCTTCCTCACTGGAAGAAATAGAAAGTTTGTTGGAACTACAGAAGAACAGTGTCAACAATAAATAATTACAAGTACAATCTCTTCGTTTTAATTCTGTTCGTCAAATATTGAGGTGCATGCTGATATCAGTCTTTTATGAGTTAGAGGGAGAGCGAGAGAGAGCTGAAAATGATGTTTGTAGTTGTTTTGAATCAATGGACGTAAGTAGTTTGATCTGAATCACGATGAATATTGACTGATATTTATGACGGATAACAGTTCAATATGCATTGTTTTGTGTCTTTATAGACCACTAGTTATCACGTAATTTATTCGCAAATGAAATTACTACTTATTCACTCGTGTACTCTTCTAATCCAATGACGTTCGTTCGGTCTGATCAGTCTAGCGTCCCCTTAATCCATCGCTCGTCTAGCCCGTCCCTCTGAGTCTACAATGCCAACAACAGCTTCCACTATGCGAATTATTTATTTCAGACATACTGGGTTTATATATCAACCAGACAGACCGCAACGCAGCATAAGTAGGAAATAACATTTATACACAATAAAGCCAGAAAGTGACTGTGAACATGGGAGACCGTAATCAATAAACTGAGTATAACTTATGAACAGAAAGTCATGTTATAATAATAATAATATTAATAATCTATGGATCAAAACGAAGCTTCTAATAAGTGGAATATAGATATACATAATCTAATCACTGAACAGTTACACCAGAGGAACAGAGACATTACATTAGCCCATTAATAGGTCTCAGGAGTTACTCGTAATTTAATCTTCGCTAGGATATAACATATTGTTAGTGGTAGACGTTATTGGGAAAATTGAATGTGAAACAACAAGTGCCAAGAATACGAAAACGATGGTATTCTAAACAATTTAACCTCCTAGTTCACCAACATTAATTAAGCTGGTACATGATCATCGAGTTGTGAAAATATAACTTATCAGTCCACGTCGTTCCAACCAGTAAAATTTCAATGCAGTGTTGCTCAATGTTTCACCAGACAGTTGACCGAGAGAGTAGTACAGATTGTTTTGTAAGAACGTGGCATTTCACTGGTCCTTATCAAGTCTCACTCCATGGGATTTCCTCTTCACACCACAGGATTGTGTGCATGTTCGATTCCACTGAAAACTGACAGTTGTTCACCATGCACCACGCTCTCATTTCATTTTCATGATAAGATGATTTGACATACACAAATTAAACAAGTGTTAATTATGAAATTATGATAATATCTCATGTGTAGAGAATGTGATGCATGTGATCGGTTGACACATCATTTGCTACAAACTAAATACTTCTTCACATCACATGATCGATATGCAAATGGCATTAGCTATGCAACTACTCGACCTACTATGTTGTGCATAATATCAACATATTTCACTTCCACAACTAATTAGTTGAACAATGTCAGTCAATCTGTTCATGATAGTCGCTGTAATTTCTTATCAAACTGTGTATACAGTTGTGAGCAACCCTACAACAACTGAGTTGAAAAGCAAAACCAGTGCATCGAATAAATCATCAAGTCTACTGAATTGGAGAAATACAATCTCACAATGTGTTCGATTGTATATGGAACCAAATCATCTTGGTGATTGGTTTGATATATGTGATAGTAATGAGCTGCTCTCATCAACATGTATTTGGAGAATCAAATCGATGTGTACAACTGGAAATACGAATCCATTCAGAAAAACATATTGGTTAATATATGAGTAGGTTTGTCCAATTTGATATGATCCGTTGTGAGGTTCATGTTTGGAGAACAAAATCGATTAATTAGGCTGGTAGATGATCATCGAGTTATGAAAATATAACTTGTCAGCACACGTCGTTCCAACCAGTAAAATTTCAATGCAGTGTTGCTCAATGTTTCAACAGACAGTTGACCGAGAGAGTAGTACAGATTGTTTTGTAAGAACGTGGCATATATCCAATTCTCTGCTGTAAGTGAACATTCTGTTCTACAGAGCTAGTTTTCACGAACTACTATTTGAAATGTCATTGTAAATAACGTGTAGTTATCATATGAATAATGAATTTGTATAGGTACATAATGAATGATTTGCATTCACTGGTCAAGGAGAATGACTCTACAAATAATTGGTGCTTACTATGAGAACACATAGACGTTCAACACATTAACCAAATTTGGTTTTGAGGGAACACATATGCTAGACTGAATTGCAGATTTAAAAGAAATAACTACACTCTTTTATTGATTACGTATTTCACTTATCTTACCATACTACTTGGTATTGTACAGTTGATTAAACTATTAGAAATCAAGTTGAAGCCATCCTCTCTGATTTCTTTGTTGAAATGAACTGCTCATCTTAAGTGTTATCGATTTTTCTGAAGTTTCGAACCACTTTATTGTTTGCAGTTGTATCGCCTATCTCATTTGATTGTTTACTCCCTTTGACGTATCCTAATACTCTGTAGGAATTTACTGTAGACAGCTTGTTTATTTCGAATCGATGGATATTGATTCACTCTGTTACCTGCTTATATGCTTCTTAGACGGTTGAAAAAATGAGACATAAGACAGAGAAAACAGGAGTTTCAGGACACTTGAATATTTATTAGTGAATTAGGAAAGGAGTTTTCATGGATAATTCACTTATTACAATCCCTTCATTTGATCACATTATCTGATGTCAAATATAGTTATGTCATCACTTTTATCTTATTCCTCACTTGACTCGTATACAAGTTGAATTTGATTGCATAGGTAGTTTACATGGTGAATTGAACTGTTTTCACCATATACTAATAAGCATTTACCGGTTAGCTTAAAAGTGAGACTTGTGAACTTTGAATATCCACATGAAAGATTGTTTGTAGCCAAACATTAATTTAGGTAAACGTTTATTGTTTATATTGCACAAAGTTAGCGGATACACTTCGAAGGATTTTGTTCAAGATAAGAGAAGAAAATGATTAGCTTTATGAGTATCATACTAATTGACTTGTCGATTTTAAATTACGTCTAAATTTGAACAATAGTCCGTTGTGCTATCACACTATAAAATAGATATATACTTTGTCCATTAAACTATGCAATGCAATTATATTCGATAGAGTAAATTTCCAGTACCGAGATATAGTAGATATTGTCTGATTTTGTATATAATTTTACTTACTAATTGATTGACTGACTCAATAAATGACTAGCTGACTGATCGTGGATAAACAACCATTGTAAGCCAGCAAACATTGCATCGCTGTTTGTCCTAGTGAATTTTATATAGGACGATATGCAATGAACTCGCATAACGTCAGGGGTTATTCTATGAAGTGCACTGAACGTCAAAGCACAACTGTGATCAACATTAAATCCAGGATGCAAATTTCCAATTACTAATATCATTCTCTTCTTCACCATTATTAAGTTCAATAAACAATGCGTGATAGATTTGTTGAGAAGCGTTAGATTAGTGAGATATTGATTAATGTGCCATTGTGGATGCTCAGCTGTTATAAGAGTACTCAATGAATTGCTGGTTGGAGTATTGTTTAACTGTATTGTTCATTAGCGAAATAAACCAATGTGAAGAGATTATTTTGACACATGTGTGAGAGAATTCGTACTCTCAAGAACAAATATTTGAGTACTGATGATGATTAGTTTTCATTCAGCTACCTAGTGATCAGCTAAATAGTATAGACCGAATATTTGGAAGGCATTTTGTAGTACATGTTTTGCTGAACAGACCAAACAAATATGCAAGTCAAAGTGACATGGAGCCTTACGGGTAAACCTCTCTATTACATTCAAGATAAAATAAATAACGAGAAATCAGTGAACGTTATACTACCTTGTAGTTTACTGTATTTTACATAATAAATTACGCATCGATATTTGATATGTTCTGGTTGACTGGAATGAGCCAACTGTTGCCTAGAGTCACTGAAATTCAATATTTCCATCGTGACCTCAACAATAATTTGTTGATCCTGATTGGCTTAGCACTATCACTAAATTTCAACGTATATTCAGAAGGGTGGGAAAGAAGAATAGAGACGATCCGATCAGGTTTATATTGCTATTTGATCACTGAAGTTTATAGCTGAAATAAGCACATTGACTACAGTATTCCACTTTCTGAACGTTTCCAAAATGTTTTCAGAACTGACATACAAATAGGGAAGTTCGACTGCTTATTTAATAATGTAGGTCACGTAATTTAAAGATAAACTTCAGAATGCTTTATTCAGCTGACAACTGTGTGAACATAACAAGTCTATTAGATTCAAATTCATTTTACTCATTTGAATGTCACAGCAATTTAAAGGTATCTGAAGTGTGTTGAGGTGCTCACAAGTCGTAATAGGGACATTGGGCTGAGCAAGTTCCAATAAACATGTTTCGAGATTTGTGTTTGATCACCAAGTGATTGTGAATGATAGCTATTTAGTAGATCCATTGAAAACCTTTACAAATTCATTATTCATATGAAAACTACACGTCATTTAAAATGACATTTCAAATAGTGGTTTATGAAAAAATACCTCTGGAGAACAGAATGTTCACTTACAACAGAGAAATGGACAGATGCCACGGTCTTACAAAACAATCTGTACTTCTCTCTCGGTCAACTGTCTATTGGAACATTGAGCAACACTGCATTCAAATTTTACTGGTTGGAACGACGTGTGCTGACAAGTTATATTTTCACAACTCGATGATCATCTACCAGCTTCATTAATCGATTTTGTCCTCCAAACATGAACCTCACAACGGATTATATCAAATTCGACAAACCTACTCTTATATTAACCAATATGTTTTTCTGAATGGATTCGTATTTCCAGTTGTACACATCGATTTGATTCTCCAAATAAATGTTAATGAGAGCAGCTCATTACTATCACATATATCAAACCAATCACCAAGTTGATTTGGTTCCATATACAATCGAACACATTGTGAGATTGTATTTCTCCAATTCAGTAGACTTGATGATTTATTCGATGCACTGGTATTGTTATTGAACTCAGTTGTTGTAGGGTTGCTCACAACTGCATACACAGTTTGATAAGA